ATATCATCATTACAGTAACTTCTGTAATATTCTAAAGTAGACTTATTTTTTACTTAAGTATATTTTGGGATGGAAAATGAATAGGAAGTCAGTATTATTTGGCACAAATAGAAGGTAAGTGTAAAAATAAGTTACAACAGTATTATTTGCCAGAAAATCCTGAAACTGAGGCATTGCTTTTGTTGTTGTTAAAGATCAGCAAAGTTTTAGAGATTTTAAAGATAAATTAATAACAAACTGATTCATACAAAAGTTTGAAAGAGAACTGAAAAAAAACTTCCTCATTAATGCTTTTGTGTATCTGCAGTCATCCTGAGTTACCTTGTATAAAGGACTCAACTGATAGCAGTTGAGTCTCATTAAAGAAACTCTAAGGCTAAGTTTTTCACTTGAAACAGGTTTTGTTATTAAGACTCTTTGACAATCAGGTTAAAGATTTTGCAGGTTTATTTAGTAATCTCTAATCTCCAAAACATGCAAGTCCTTAATGTTTGATGATGGTCTTCGGAAACCCAATACAAATATTCTTCTAAAATGGACTTCAAGAGGATCAAATATTTAGCCTGACTATTTGACATAAAAGGTATCTATTCTTTGGCCATTACTTGTCCCTGAAAAATGTAATACAATTCATAATGCACACAGAGTAACACACTGCAGAAGTTAGTGAATTGTTGGAGGTTAGTTGAGTAGTTGCTAGTATTAGAGAGCTATTAAGAGCTAGTATTAGAACCAACATCACTTGACTTCTAAGCTGGTTATCTTTGCAGTCCTGTGTTTCTTGACAAATAGTGTAACTTGGTTCCATAGGATAGACTTTAGGAATATACAAATAGTTAATTGTGTCTATTATAGCATACAGGTGCTACAACCATGTGAAATATTATTGATATTATCAGCCTCAGAGAAGTTAGGCATTTTGCCTAATATAACATTGTTAATTAATGGTAGAACCAAAATTTGAAACATTATGATTTTTTTGCCTTTCTAAGTAAAATTCATTCTTCATCTAAAACTTCATCTAAGTTTTCTCTTACAAGCTGAAACACTCTTTTACTCCCAGAAATTCCCAAGCCCTTTTCTTTTTTCCCTTTAACTTGCCTTTATACCTTTTATTTCTTGCCATTTGCCCTTGTGAGCACCGCCAGCCCACTGTTACAGGGAAGCAGAGATAAAGGAAACAAAGGCATTCTTATTTTATTCTTAATTGAAAAGGTAGTGCTCCTGATATTTAGCAATTTGCTATAAATTTTTGGTGTTCGTTACCAATTTTTCTGTCGCTTCCTCTTTCCTAAGATTTAAAAAAAAAAAAAAATCATAAGTCTATGAGATAATCATACTCTATTGAGAGAATCACTTGATTTTTCTTTTTTAGTGTATAGGCAAAATACTTTTAAAAGGTTTATGTAGTAAATGAGATGTACATATTTCCTATTGATAAATCTCCCTTGCATTTCTGGGGTGAACTCAGATGGTTTGTGATATATTAATATCGTTTTTACTTTAATTTTTTTATTTTTTAAGTTTATTTGAGAGAGAGAGAGAGCACAAGCAGGGGAGGGGCAGAGAGAGAATCCCAAGCAAGCTCCACATTCTGTGCTGAACCCAACATGGGGCTCAATTTCACAATTGTGAGATCATCACCTGAACTGAAGTCAGGAGTTGTATGCTTAACCAACTGAACCATCCAGGAGCCCCATAATATCATTTTTACTTTTAGAATCAGTTTGTAGGGGCGCCTGGGTGGCGCAGTCGGTTAAGCGTCCGACTTCAGCCAGGTCACGATCTCACAGTCCGTGAGTTCGAGCCCCGCGTCAGGCTCTGGGCTGATGGCTCAGAGCCTGAAGCCTGTTTCCGATTCTGTGTCTCCCTCTCTCTCTGCCCCTCCCCCATTCATGCTCTGTCTCTCTCTGTCCCAAAAATAAATAAACGTTGAAAAAAAAAATTAAAAAAAAAAAAAAAAAAGAATCAGTTTGTAACTTCTAATTTAATTTCTTCTTGACAGTACTAAGATGATGAATTCTTGTAAATCCTTCTTAAATGTTTTAATAATTTTTTCCTAGAATGTATTATTTTGTATAATCTTTAAGTGTGTTAGCTTAACATTGATCATAATATACATACTTATTTTTTAAGTGTTTATTTATTTACTTTTGAGAGAGAGAGCATGAGTGGGAGAGAGGCAGAGAGAGAATCCCAAGCAGGATTCACACTGTCAGCATAGAACCCGATGTGGTTCTTGATCTAACAAACCACGAGATTATGACCTGAGTGAAAATCAAGAGTCAGACACTCAACCATTTGCATACATATGTAAAAACATATCCTGTTATATACTACAGAACAGGATATGTTTATGGGACTGTGAATATGAATATAAAGATTTATATGAATTTGTTATCACTTTAATATGGCTAAGTTGTTTAGGCTGAAGTTTTTCAAGTATTATTCCTACTTGAAAAATTGCTGGGTGCAACTTAATAAAGAACATTGAAGGGCGCCTGGGTGGCTTAGTCGGTTAAGCGTCCAACTTCAGATGCTCAGGTCATGATCTCACAGCTTGTGGGTTTGAGCCCCACATCAGGCTCTGTGCTGACGGCTCAGAGCCTGGAGCGTGCTTCACATTCTTTGTCTCTGTCTCTCTCTGCTCCTCCTCTGCTCATACTCTTCTCTGTCTCTCAAAAATAAACAAACATTAAAAAAAAAATTTTTTTGGGGGGCGCCTGGGTGGCGCAGTCGGTTAAGCGTCCGACTTCAGCCAGGTCACAATCTCGCGGTCCGTGAGTTCGAGCCCCGCGTCAGGCTCTGGGCTGATGGCTCAGAGCCTGGAGCCTGTTTCCGATTCTGTGTCTCCCTCTCTCTCTGCCCCTCCCCTGTTCATGCTCTGTCTCTCTCTGTCCCAAAAATAAATAAACGTTGAAAAAACAATTCAAAAAAAAAAATTTTTTTTTAAAGAACATCGAATACCATTGTGCCCTGAATATTCATTTTTCACTACAGTTTTTAACTTAGCTAATTTGTGACTTAGTGTTATCCTAAGCACTAAGGAACAAAACCAGTGAATTTCAGAGGCCCACTTTATTAGTAAATTGTACTAGAGGAACATTGTATAAGAAACCATACAGCTAAAATAGTATCCACCTTTCCTGAAAATACAATTTAACTATAGTTAAAGGCAGTATTGAGGATTGTTGCAGCACTTGGCCCTTCCAAGTATATTCAAGTGATGGTAGTATCACTTTGTGTACAGTAGGTATAGATCACGATTAATTGAAAAGTTTTCTTGTAATTTAAGTCATTAAATAAATTATTCTTCCTTTTCCCCCTTACCAGATGAACATGGCTATCTTGACAACTATCTACTATCTCTCAGGCTGGTATATCTTGGCAGCAGTATTTCTTTTGTTGTTGCTGTTAAAGATTTTATTTTTACATAATCTCTGCACCCAACACAGGGCTCAAACTCACAATGCCAAGATAAAGAGTCACGTGCTCTACCAACTGAGTTAGCCAGGTGCCCTGACTCAAGATAGTGTATCTTGTGGGTGTTCTTGTTAGGTGACAACACCACTGGTGTCTATCAGTGAAGCTAGATGAGAGAAAGGCTGATATTCTGTTTCTAGAGATTTCTGTCTATTCAGATTCCCTATTCTGATCCATGTTTGGGAGATTGTAAGATTATCTCCCATAAAGGGTGGAGTGGGGATTGAAGGGAAAATCTTTTGTGAACCTTCTGTAGAATTTTATCCTTTATGATCCTTCTGTAGAATTTTGGCAGCTCTTAATGTAGATTATGAGCTAAGTTGGAACTAAGCAGTTAATAGCTATCAGGAGGTCCATGAACCATATTATGAAATGGTATGAAAAAATCCATGTCTACATATATTTCTGTGTGTAGACTCCATAACTTTCCTTCAATACCTAGTATGAGTTCTACTTGAAAGGTTAAGAATTAACTGTATGTGTTGGGTGGGAGGGGAGGGAGGGTTGGAGAGAGAAAGAAGGGAGGAAAAGAAATCTGTTATAGTATGACAATATATGAGGTCTTAATCCATTTATAGAGTGATACTATGGAACATTAGCCAATGATTGACTGTTTAGGCAATCCACTGTAGGGATAGTCCTGTAGTAGTTGATTTACAACTTTAGGTTTTTCCCACAGGCAGAGATTCTGATTTAGAGAATTCATTCTGTTCACAGAAGTGTATAGACAAAATGCTTTTTAAAAACATAGTATTTGGGGGGCGCCTGGGTGGCGCAGTCGGTTAGGCGTCCGACTTCAGCCAGGTCGCGATCTCGCGGTCCGTGAGTTCGAGCCCCGCGTCGGGCTCTGGGCTGATGGCTCAGAGCCTGGAACCTGTTTCCGATTCTGTGTCTCCCTCTCTCTCTGCCCCTCGCCCGTTCATGCTCTGTCTCTCTCTGCCCCAAAAATAAATAAACGTTGAAAAAAAAAAAAAAACATAGTATTTGGCAAGAATTTTACCAAATGTTAATAAAAAATTGTTGTTCAGAGGTGACTGGGTGGCTCAGTCGGTTGAGCATCTGGTGTCAGCTCAGGTAATGACTCATAGTCCGTGAGTTTGAGCTCCACATTGGGCTCACTGCCGTCAGCATAGAGCCTGCTTCAGATCCTCTGTCTCCTTCTCTCTCTGTCCCTACCCCATCAAAATTAAATAAACATTTTTTTTAAATTGTTTGGAAGTTATTAAACTTTTCAGGAACACACACTTTTAGTTACCCCATTACAGTTTTATAAATTACAGAGAAAAGGTTTATTAGAAGCTACAAAATAAATATTTAAAACATTATGTAAAAGCTAAAGCTGTTAATTTTTTATTTTGGGTGACCTGACAAATTGTGATTGGAACCTGTTGTGAGTGTGACCAAGACAGTGTGTTCAATTCCATGTAAGAAACTTTAAAGTTTTACTGCCATTGCCTCTTACTTATTAATTGACCTTTTGTTTAATAATTTTGGGTTGATTTTAGGCCACCAACAAAATGGAAATGAAAGATATTGCTAAACACAAGACACTATGGAAAATGAACTCAACCAGTGAGCCTTTATTACTTGCTGGTGTAGAAGTCAATCCTTTGAAGAAATTCACTATTCCCAAGATCAGGAGGGCAGCTGGGAAAGGTAATATTTACTATTTCCAAGGAAGGCGGGGTTATTTCATAACTATTACTGCATTTTTCTGATTCTTAGTTTGTGTTCATCTTCTGTTTTGACTATATAAAATTAGATGAAGTCATGCCTTTAATTCCTTAAACACACATGTACCTTTGGTTCACACACAATGAAACAGACATGTCTCATCCCTTTCACTAAGTACACTTAAAATTGCTGGACATTATACACAAAACAAATAGTAGAAGACTTTGGAAGGTGTAGAGAAGATGGACCACTTAAAAACCCTGGGACTCAAGGAATGTCACTGCAGTAAGTTCTCTGGATTTTATGTTTTTGTTTCCTCCATGTCTCAGATCATATGCCAACAGTCCAGGAATACCAGCTGGAATAGACACAGAAAGCCCCAAGAAAAGTGTCTTCTCCCTTGAAAAGGACTAGGAAGGGCACATCCTAGAAAAATAGAAACTTATTTGACAGTATATCCCTTACTCCTACAAAAAACTAGGGGGAAAAATATAGCCGGTACACCTTTGTTAGCAAAAGCTAAGTGGAGGGCTTAGACTTCTATCCACTCCTCTCCCCTTCATGGCAGTAACAGGTTCCCCTCCCTGGCATCCCCTCCCCTGCAGTGTCACTGGTTTTCCATCCCTGCCCTGTGGTGATGAGCCACCCCTTCTCACTTGGAATAGAGTCCATGAAGACCAAGTATGGAGCCTGGACTGCTATCACACCTGTCAGTTACAAAACACCTGTCCCTTTCCCACATTGTCATTGGAGGCTGAGTCAGGAGCAGTAACTTCTACCCCTTTCTCATGGTAACAAAGCACCCCCCCCCCCACACACACACACACACAGTGTTGTTGGAGACTCTGTAGGGAGCCAGGACTTCAGTCCAATCTGGTGGTAAAGAAATCAGTCCCTCCCTTTTCTTACTGGCAGTTTCCCCTGTTAGCTCAGTTTCAGTAGAGGCTTGGTAAAACCCAAGATTAAATATGATCCAGAATATCTTAACAATATCCAAAATGACCAAAATAAAATTTTTTGAAATCACTCATTTTCTACCAACCAGGAAAAATATCAACTTGAATGAGACAAAGTAATCCATAGATGCCAATACTCTGATGAAACAGATGTTGGAATTAATCTGACAAGGCTCTTAAGGCAGCCATTATAATGGTGTTTCAGTAAGCAACTATGAACACTCTTGAAACAAATGAAAAAAATAGAAAATCTCAACAAAAAAATGCAAAATGTAATAACCAAGTAGAAATTTTGGAACTGAAAAATACAATAATCAAAATAAAACCTCAAAGGATGGATCCAGAGAAGAATTGAGAAGAAGACATTGGAAATAGTCAGTGAATTTGAAGATAATAACAATAGAAATTACTCAGCCTGAATGACACGGGAGAACGTACACATGCACACACAGAAAAAAATACCAGAGCTTCAGGAATGTGTGGAACAATAATATAAGATTTAACACCTTTGTCCTCAGTGTCCCCAAAGAAGAAGAGAAAGAGTGTAGAAAAGTACTTGAAGGAATATTGGCTAAAAAATTTCCCAAATTTGGCAAAGGGCATAAACCTGCATAGTCAAAAGGCTGAAGGTTCCATAAACCCAAAAAG